CTCAATTCTTGCTAATCATGCTCGTCGACTTGATCTTCAATTTCGGCCACAAATGATTACATCTGATTTCGAGCCTGCTCTTATAAAAACAGTTGCAAATGAAGTACGTTGGCTTTTATTCTCTCCAATTAGTTCTTATTATAATCTTTAGTTTCCGAATACACGTCATATTGGGTGCAATTTTCATTTTGTAAATGCAATATATCGTCAAATACAACACCTTGGTTTGGTTACTGATTATCGTAATGATGAATGTGTACGATCAAGTGCACGTAAACTAATGGCACTTGCACTTGTTCCAATTGATAAGCTTGAACTTGCTTTTCAAAAAGTTGCACGTGAATCTCCACGTTCATTAAAACCATTAATCGATTATTTTAATCGATATTGGATGACAAAAGTGAAATGGACTTTATGGAATGTCTCAAATGTTGAATTGAGAACAAATAATATCGTAGAAGGTTAGGTTTTTTTTCTTTCTTCTTAGCTTGAATTTATCATTTAGGATGGAATCATCGATTCAATCGACTAGTATCTAAATATCATCCAAATATATGGCACTTATTTGATTGCTTGAAGAGAGAAGAAGTTATTGTTCGTCAACAAATGCTAAAGATGATGACGGGTGGAAAGAAGAGTAGAAGCAAAAAAACTCTTCTTCATCAACAACGAATTTCTTCACTTCAATTACAATTTAATCAAAAGAAAATAAAACTTGATGAATTTCTTGAAGGACTTTCACTATTGATTGGAGTCGGCAAATAATCGTTCTTCATCATAAATTTAGTTATTTTTTCTATTTTGTTAGTTCATGGTCATCAACTTTTAAAATAAAATTTTAATTATAAATATACATACTCCTTCATCGCTACTTCGATATTTTACATTGCAACTAATAGTTCGAGATTTTTTTTCGAAATTTGCCAATTTCGGAATTTTCCATTTCGAGATTTACTTTTTTCGATTTACTTTTTTTCGTAAAACCGATTTTTCGGAATTTTAATTTTTCGAGCTTTTCCTTTTTCGAAATTATTGTTTTCGTGATTTTTTTTCGAGATTTTCTTTTTCGAGGTTTTTTTTTCGAGCTTTTCACATATTACCAGAAATATTCTTTACCAAAATATGTTATGGAAGCTATTAAACCTGTATTTGATGAACTTGCTTCGAGTAAGCGCCTTCTATTCATAATAATTCTTACTCCTTTGTTTATGACGGATTTTTTAGAAGAAAGTTTAAAACGTGTGCTGAATGGATCCAGTCAAAATCCTAATGAGTCATTTCATTCACTCTTATGGAATATGGCTCCTAAGAACAGATTTTGTAGTGGAACTATTATTGATGGTATGCAAGAGATAAAGTGTCTCGATTGATATGATAACTCATTCGATGTATTTACTTCGTTCTAGTTCGTCTTGGGTTGGCTATTATGATATATAACGATGGTTACTTATCTATTGGCGAAATATTACATGAACTTCTAGGTATTTCACAGATTATTTTTTGTTTCTGTTGAAGGGTTCTAATTCCGGACTTTTGTTTCATAGGTGAAATGGGTCATTTTTCTTATATTGCATTTGATCGCATGAATAAACAACGGTTAAAAAAAGAAGCACAATGGAGAAAGAGAAGAGGACAACAAACAGGTGATGATGAAGATACAGACAATGATAAGGACGAAGAGAATGATGATGATACAGCTGAAGACTATCAATCTGGCGCATATTGAAGTGCGATTTATATCTTGTTGTTGTATATAAACATAACTATTTTTGAAAAAATCAAAACGATGAGTTTCACTTTTTTGTGTTTGCTTATTTGTTATTAGTAATTAAAACTACTCAGAGTAGATTAATCTTTGTTTGTGAGAGTACATTAGAAAGAAAGGAGGTTTTCACGGGAAAAATAGTTTCGATATGATGCATAGGGACGGAAAATGCATTGCATACTTGTATAAATATGCGCAATCAATTCAACATCATCGAAACCTAAATGAAATAAACTTTCGTGCTATACAGCTACAAAATTTTCCATACAATGGAAGTTCATATTCCTCAGCTTACGGACCGCCAGAAAAAACTCATCAGAATAAAAAACTAACCTTCTTCTTTTGACAGAAAAAATTATTTTAGCTTAAAGCCCATTGCAAGGACTATCAGAATATGCATAAATCCAGAAATCGAGTTTTTCTCGAAAACTCGACTTTTCTAGGGGAAGGGGGGGGGGGGGGGGGGGTTAAGTGTTAGCAGGCTCTTAATGATTAATATAAAAAACGTTTTATTCAATGCTGATGCAAATGGCAAGGCAGTCTTTCCGAAACTGAAAAACTTGAAAACAAAATCGCGAAAATTTCTCGAAAAACATGATAGTAGGCCCAAGTTTCAACCGATAAGTCCGTCAAAATCTGTCCATTTTCCGAAAAGCCATATATATTCTGAAAGAGGAAACTTCGGTGCATCTTCCTATCAGTGGCGTATCCAGGATTTTTAGACCAATGGGCAAACTTCTCTTATGCTAGAAAAAAATGTTGGGCGAAATGGGCAAGATTTTCATTCATGGGCCAAAAGTTTTTCGACCAAGCAAGTACTGATAACGGAAAAAAAAACACATAAAAAATGAAATGAGGTTCTTCTAATGAAATATGCATAAAAGTCAGATCTTAAGCACGTTCCACCAATAAAAGTCAATTTTCGTTAAAAACATGAAAGTTGAGATAAGTGTGTGAGAAGTTAGCTGCAAGTCTGTGCCCTTTTAAATGAGATATAGCTTGTTATTTCGTACATCATTTTTAGCGAATTTTTTAATGTTTTTCGTCATCAACTACCTGAAAAATAAGCTGATTTTTGATGAAATCGAAAAATCGTTTTCGTTTTTTCTCAGTTCCTGATTTGTCAAATGCTCAAAACCAAACTCCTCCACTCAGAGGAACTATACAGAATGGTCAAAAAGTAACGAAGCAGTCTTTAATTACGAATAACTTTTGATAGAAATAAGCTAGAGAGCTGCGGTTTTCGTCGTTTAAAAGAAAAAACAACTGTATCGAATCTGGAATACTAGATTTTTATGACAATATTTACTCGGAGTCTCCAGACATTTTTTGTAATAGAAATTATTGTGTAATGTGAAAGTTTTGGAATTTTAATTTTCAGTAGTGCATCAGAATCGTTAACTACGGTTCAATAATCTCTGTAGGTTCAACTCCAAAAAGATTTAGCAAATTATTAGTTCTTAACATTTTACTACGCGTTCTCGGCAGATTCTTGGCAAAAAGCCGAGTTTTTCTTGATATTTTGACGAAAAATTCACCTTTTAGGCCTATTTAAAAAGTCAAAGTTTTTTAAAGAAGCTTGTCAGGAAACCATGAGAAATTTTGTTATAAAAATCCGGTATTCAAGATCCGATACAGTTTTTTTCTGTTTTAAACAATGAAAATCGCAGTTCTCCAGCTTGTTCCTATCAAAAGTTATTCGCAATCAAAGACTGCTCCATTACTTTTCGACTACCCTGTATACATTTAATTTTTTTATTGAAACAGCATGTCAAAATGTGCGGCACTAAAGTGTCCTTCTTTTTAGTTAAGCTTTTTTCTGTTATATGTACAATCAATTTTATAAATTGAACTCCTTTCTTTAGAGAGTTTTTTGACTCATCACAATTGTAATTCCTTCTCTCCTTTCGAGAAATAAAAATTCAAAAAAAAGTTTTTAGTGTCCTGCATCGTGGCATGCTCTTTCCATAAAAAAAATTGAAATATATATATAGACCCGAGGCCGAAAAATTTAGAATGCTGAATCAGCTATTTCTGAACCTTGTTTGGTGAATATCTCTGTCAAACGTCATGGTATAGAACTGGAAATTTTACCATAGCTTCTCTATTATAGCTACAACAAATTCTCCAAATGTCATGGCATTAGAATGTTCCTGAGCTGAGATCGATTTTTGAGAGTGGAGAGACCTTAAGATTGAGTCATATATGTTTAGTCTATTTTGAATGTATCTATCTATAAGATTTATATTTCAAATTCAAATACCTAAATCAATACGACAACGATGTATTTGTGTGCATAATTTCCAAATTGCATCTGGATTCATATCGAGATCTTTATCGATGTATGCAGCAGCAAAGAAATAAACAATTTAAAAAAAGTAAAATTTCAATGGGCAAAGCCTTACGTTCAAAAATTACAATGGGCAAATCTTAAAATGAAATGGGCAATTGCCCATTTGCCTCCCCCTTGGATACGCCACTGCTTCCTATGATAAAAACTCAATTTCGATTTTTCGAAGAAAAATCGACTTTTCTGAGCGGGGGGGGGGGCCTTAATTAATTCTGTTTTTTGAAATTTGCATGAAAGCAAAGCGCGCCTTATGAAAATTGTTTACGGCAGTAAATCCCGCGGCAGTAAATCCTGTACACGGATAAATATACATTCTCTTGTTCATAATTCAGAAATCGTATTAAGTCTGAATTTGTACAAGCTAAAATACTCACAGAAGTAATTAGCAAGATTGACAAATTCAAAGATGCTTACTTTAAATTTTATGATTTTCATTGTTCAATTATTAACTGTGAATCTTCTTGATAAACAATACAAAAAAAGTTCCATTGTTGCTTCGATTCTATTTTGTATTACATGTAATTGTCATCATTTTTTTATTTGAAAAGTTAAGACGTAAGAAGAAAAAAAAATCATAAGAAACTACTATACAGTACATTTGTTTACTCGACTGTTACCCTGTCCAGATTTACAGCCAAATACTCGATCGAACTCGGGAAAATTCGATGTTGGACCAATTACTCTGAAATAAAAATGAATTTGAAACTGAACATCAAAGAAATATGTCCTACCTGAATTGAAAAGGTGCATGTTCATCTTTTAAAAGATAATTCGTGAAAAATATATCTGTCCCTTTTGAACACCATATACGACCATAATTCATAAAAAACATTTGTTCTGCCGTATACTTAGCTAGACCTTGTAATTTTTTTGTCAAGTTGTCCATTAACTCGAGCCCAATTTTGATACGCCTAGAAAATGTACAATTTTATGTGTAACATCAGAAGTTACATGTCTTACGAAGACGGATGCTTTCAATCTGCCATCGTCAGCAATATTTTCACCAAGTGTTTGTACGCCACTTACCTGAATAAAGATAAAATTATCACAATAAACTTGGCAAGAAAAAAAGAGACCAGATGATTTATTTGAGTCACAGTGTAATTATTGTACTGATCGATCACACATTGTGTACGATTATCAAACGCCTCAAGTGTCTTATTAGTCCACCAAACAACTTTATTTCCATTTTTATCATATTGTCCTCCATTGTTGTCAAAACCATGTGTAATCTCGTGTCCTATGACTGCTCCAATACCTGAATTAGACACGCTCATTTTGTATTCATTTTTTTCCAATTAAAGAAATACTCACCACCATAGTTGAGGTACCTAAAATGATATTACAAACATTTTAAAATAAGAGATCCAATGTGCTTTACTTAGGTGCATCTTTATTGAACAATGGTGCTTGAAGAATGGCAGCTGGGAATAATAAAAACACACGAAGATATGAAGAGACATTAATACGAAAGCTTTCCTACGCATATAATTATACTAGCGGAGGTACCCGATGTATGGAGATGATACGATAGCATATACCTCACGGATGATAATACAATGTTGCCACAGTCCTCAAGAGCTATTCATCTGCAATATCATAAGCTAGACTTGAATCCTTTCTTTTTTAATTTTAATATTTAACACATTAAAGCCGTTATAGACTTTTTTTCTTTTTATATTTTTATTGATGAACTTCTTCCAAGCAAAAAAACAGCAAAATAGAAGCTTTCATTGTAAAGCTGTTTTGTAAACGATGTTCTTCGTTTTTCCATCTGGAGCAAAAACATATAAATTCTCTCCAGTTCCTACTCTCGAGCATGCCACATGAAGTTGACCATGAGAAAAGCAAGGAGTTTCTAAATTGACACCAGCAACTTTAAATGATTGCCCTTGAGCCTTATTAATAGACATTGCGAAGGCAAGCCGTACTGGAAACTGAAGTCGTGTAAATTCGAATGGTATATCAGAAGGGAGCAAAGGTATTTTTGGTATGAATACATTTTCACCTTTTGCACAACCTGTCATGAGCGTTGCTTCGATTACATGAGGCATTAGAGTTTTGACACATAGCCTTGTACCATTACATAATCTTGGTGCATCCAGATTTCTTAGGAGCATAATAAATGATCCAATTTTCAGACGCAAGTTATGTGGTGGCATTCCAGGAGATTCTAGTGAATTGAGAAACTCAGTTGGATACTGAACTACCATGTCGATATCTTTAACTGTATCGATTGATTTGTAAGATATAGCTTCACCAGGAAGTTGTTGCTGTATTTGTAGATTGATAGTCTTTACATGGACGTTTTTCGGAGCCAAAATAGCACGTTCACATAACCATTTGTGATCCTTGTACTGAGTTTGAATGTTTGGAAACACTTTATTCTTGAGTTCTTCGACTGATTCAACGATATTGCAAACGTTGTCTGAAATATTAATAAGTCCACTGACTGGGTCAGCAGGTATTTTGCCATTTCCAATTGCGAGAAGTTGTTCAGCGAAACGGCCGGCAGATACGTCACCTCGTAAGTGCACTCTCATGTTAGTACTGAGTTTTAATGGTACAACATGTCTCCAAAGATACGAAGATTTCAAGCAAGGTTTTAGCTCATCAGCCATGGTACCCTTTGGAATAACTGGTAATGTTTGCCTAAAATCGCCAGTAATAAGTACAACTACTCCACCCATATTCTTTCCATTGTTACGAAGATCCTGTAAAGTGTGGTTCAAAGCTTCTAATGCATACCTATGAGCCATTGTGCACTCGTCCCATACAATAAGTTCACATTCTTGCAGAACCTTTGCTTCGCCAGTTCCTTTGGTAATACTACAGACATGAGTTTGATTTTCCAAAAACTTAACAGGTAACTTTAATGTCAAGTGCGCAGTACGACCACCGTGAAGCAGCGTAGCAGTGATACCGGAAGAGGCGACCGCAATCGCAATCTTTGACTGATGCCGAATTTTAGCCAATAACAAATTAATGACAAATGTCTTCCCTGTTCCACCAGATGCATCAATGAAGATTATTTCACCAGCTTTCTTCTCGATCTGATCCAAAATCGCATTGTATGCAGCTCTCTGATCCGGCACCAACAGTGGCTCATTTGCTGTTATATAAGCATCCAACTCTTTCACATTATAACTTGTTTCTCTGAGCATTGCACTGTTTAATCGATCACCCGAATTTCGTTGAGGAGTTGGGAGCTTTAATTTCTCAAGTTCTTTGCCACCCATCTCTAAAACTTTATTTTCAATAATAATCAGTGCTTCATTAAACATATCTGGTGTATAATCCAAATTCATTCCAGGATTTTGCCTGCCAGCATTTCTCAGAATGTCTTCAATCAAGCTTTCTTTGTACGACTCCCATAATTGTTTTGGATTGGATGGTCCACAAACAGCTAGTATAAGAGCAAATAGATTTCTTAATCTTACTGGCGATTGAGCTGCAGCTGCTTCGGACATGGTGGCATCCCATTGCTGATCATCTTCCAGTAATCCATGTAATTGACATGCTTCACGAAATGTTGCACAGATCTGACCGTTTACTGTTCGAAGAGCTTCAAATGGAGTAGAACCTCTGACCACATGAAGTAAGAGTCGTAGAAAAAAGCATTCGAAATTATTAGGACGCACAGTGTAAACACGACCCAACGCATCTCCTTCTCGAATGTCTGGGTGACCAAGCACAGCAGTTCCTTGAACACGCCGGTTAAACACTTTTTCTGACGTGTTCCATGTGTAGTATTTTGGAACATCACAGTACAACAGCGTTTTGGCAAAGTCGTCTTTCTGGCGGAATAAGAAAAATGCTGTTAGTGTTGTTCTTGGTTGTTCATTAACTTTCTCACGAACATTATCTTCGGTGAAATAAATGCGTTGACCATTTTCCAAATGAACAGCCAAATGAACAACGGTTGGATATCGTTCGTGAATTGGAAAATCCAAGATTCGCTAGACTGCCTCATTGCTACTGATGTATCTACCTAACTGATAGTTACTAATTTCATCAACTGGGGCTCCATCTCTTCCCAAACCAAACACTGCCTGATCACTGCCCTTGTTGACATATTTGCAGATGTATTTGATTGATTTTACCGAGTTGCAATATTCCACATTAATGTGGGCTTGAAAGACCCGAGAGAGTAGTGGACAATATGGCACAACCCACTTGTTGTCAATTTCGATTTCTTGAATGGAGTTATTAATTCTCATTTTGATTTTGGCTTTGATACCACCATCTGAACTTCTTCTTCTATGCGATGGATATCCATCATCACCAGTTTCTGTATCATGCAAAAGTTGTTTTGGATATCTTTTTGTACACTTTTTGTTTTCCATACACGGAGAGTTTGGATTGATACTTCCACATGGACCGTGAATCATAGTCTTGATAATTATTTCAAATAGTCGAGGATCTCGTTCAGGATCAGGTAATTCTGCGTTGATTACGCGATCTATTTGATCTGCTTTAATTTTGTTCTTTAGCCATATCAAAATATGGGCATGTGGTAGTCCTCTCTTTTGCCATTCAATAGAATACATCCAGCATCTTGTTGGCCCAAATACATGGCTTTTGGTAATAATGTTGACCAATTTAATGAGCTTTTGTCTGAACACTGTTGCTAATAGGTCATGACGATCAGAGGGAGCTTGACCTTCCATTAATTCTGCTTGAATTTCTTGCCACTTAGGATTGCAGATGAATGTTATAAAGAGGTCGGGTCTTCCATGGTTTCTCACATAAGTCATAGCATCTTGTGTATATTCATGCATGTGCCGGGGACTTCCAGTGAAAGTTGCTGGTAGAATCACTAATTGACCAAGATTGTCAGCTTGTCCATCATTGGCTATAGCATCTTTCAGGTGAATGTATTCATCCACTCTAAGCTTTTTTTGATTATAACGTAGAAAAGATAATCTTTCACTTTCTATCTTAGCGTACTTTCGTACCATAATTCTATAAGCATAAAAATTCATAGCCGACACCTTTTTGCCAGTGACAGCCATTTCAGTTGTTGGATCAGTCTGTTCGATAAGAAAATCGTAGCCATCCTCACTTTTCCAAAAGATGAGAGGATATTGCAAGGCATCATACGATCTGTGTGTCTCAGATACTCTCTGTAACTGACCATTTTTCTTCTTCAAGACAATATCTCGTTTCTCAAAGTCGTTGCCAGCGATGACAACCGCCACCTCATTTGTCACTGGCTCATTGAAACGACGTGCATGCTCTCCAACAGGTTTCATGTCTGCTCGAATAAGCACCTTGTATTGATCTGTAGGCATTCTTTGAAGGGCAGTCTTGAAAAGATCAACATAAATGTGGTGCTCATGAACCATTTGCTGCAGTTTCTCGACAATGTCTTGACGTACGCCAGCCATGTTTTTGCTAAGTTGTTGTACTTCTTTTCGATCGTCGCCCATGAAGTAAATTTGAAGAAATTTATGTTCTTCATTCGAAGGCGGCAGCAGAGATCCTACGCGATGCTATACCTGACCCTGAACTCTGAAAGTAGCCATGAAGCCTGAGTCAGCCACTTTCTCTGACGTGCTAAAAGATGTCATTTGAAAGCAGGAATTGTATTTTCTAATGTTATCCAAGAAATGCTTCGATTCGGGCGTTGTGGGTGTGGGTGTGGGTGGGTATGGGTGGGTGTGGGGTGTGGGTGTTGGTGTGGGGTGGGTGTGGGTGTAGGTGTGGGTGGTGGTTGTTCTTGAAGATGAAACTTACACCCACACCCACACCCCACACCCACCCACACCCACACCCACACCCACACCCATATCCTACGTATTCTGAAACATTTGTTTTCCAATTTCACAAACTGTAGAAATTTTGGTAATTAGTTTTATTTTCATTTGATTTTTGTTAATAAGAACTTTGAAAAAGTCTGAAATCATAAATGTTTCAGATTTTAATTTTTCAATATCAATATCATTATGACAAAAATCCATAATTGTTTTAATGTAATCATTGGAACCATCAGATGGCTTATTAGATATATTAAGAATAAAATTTTCAACGTCACATAACATATTAGAGTTCTTTTGTATAAATCGAGTTTGAAGCACGTTAATAATTATTTCTCATGTTTCAACATATTGTTTCTGATAAAAATCTTTACAACTTGCATAATTTATGGAAATTGTATTTTATTCATATCGTCGTGGTGGTCTTCGAAGTCGAGGTAGAATAGGTTTTTCAGTTAAAACTTCACTGTCTTGAACTACTTGATTATAAAACAATTCAAAATTAATATCATATGAAAAAAGTAGAAATGATAGTTTCAATAGATGTATTTGATCGTTTACAGAGTTTATTTTTTACCTTGAATACGTCGAAAACGATGAATAATTGCTTCAGCAGCACAAAAAACATCTTGTAAACAACAATCAGAACTTTGCAATGCACGTGATAGCTTTTTTGCATCTGTAAATATTAAGTGGCCTAGTTTTAATCCAAAAAAAAAGTCGAATTTGTTCATCTGTTTATATAAATCATTTACTTTTGTACCAGGACCACTTTTTTCTTCACTTATTGTGTACAAGACTTCTTGAACTAAAATTCAATTTTAATTTTAGATTTTCGAATGTTTTTTTAATCTATTTAAATACTATTCAAGCTTTAACATAAGTGCTGGTGTATTTAAAGTAATATTTCCTTCTATCGATGTATGAAATTTTTAAAAGCTAGCTAACGAAAAATAACACTCCGCGTTCCAACAAAGATATTATCGCATCACTAAGCATACTATTCATACTTGACCGAATGTTTTCCTTGCAAAATTTATGTATCAAAAGAAACGAGAAGATGGGCAGAAAATATAAATTGTTTTAAGATCATCTCTCTAATAGTTTTAAAGCTTTCTTCAAAGCCAAGTGTTTTCATGATTATGTTTCGCCATATATTATGTGGTAAGCATTACGAAAATGACACCGCATTTTTTTTAATATAAGCAAATATTCCTTTAACTTGTTCATAGGTTTTTAATAACGAACCATATGATTCAGCGCGCAAAGTCCATCTAGTTGAACATAATGCCGTAAGATTTGTATAAGATAACAATATTTGATACAGTATTTCTTTCAAAATAATAAGACGTTTCGGTGATCGACGTATAAAATCAATAATATCTTTTACACAAAATATGCAGTTACTAATAGAAGCACATTGATCTGTTAAATCATGTACGACTAAATCTAAACAATGTGCAACACAGTAGATATAAATAGCATTTGAATACTGTTCAAAATTATTGTTGATACACCACCGTATATTCCAGGCATGTTTGATGCCTCATCGTAACTTTGATCGCGACCATTAATTATGTCTAAGCCACATGGAGTTATAACATCACAAATCGCTTCAACAATTGTTAGAACATTTTGTGCAGATATTCCATATAGCCCTACAACATCTTCAAAAATTTGCAGTTAGAATCAACGGAACTAATGATGATACATAATTGTGCAGTTGTTGATTCATTACATGTATCATCACATATCAAAGAAAACCAGTTTGTGCTGAAAATCTACGTGAAAAAAGTCGAATCATTTTCAATAATAATAATCAATTCAAAATAAAAACTTATGATATTTAAAAATTTAGAGCAGAAAGCTAGACACATTTGAGTCACTTTTTCTGTTCATATAGAACATATACAGCAAAATGTCAAGATTTTACATCAGACTTGTTGATGCACTCTATTGTTCTATGGGCAAGTTATGTTATAGCATTAGTTTGTTGTAATAAAAGGGCAACTATGCAAATTTGCATGAGAAATCTTCATAGAAACTAATATTCTATTTAAATCTTCAAAATGCAATCTGTAACCTAGTTGAAGAAGCAGATGAATACATATTTATATTCATGCTATATTATGACTTTTAAGTTTTTCACATCCATTTCAGTCATACGTACTTCTTTTACAATATCCCGAATGATTATTAAATAAATTTCTTTGCAAATTTCATTAACAATATCATGTGAAATGTATTTCTTATTTTTCATCCATTCGTTTAAATATTCATTATCAACACTTCAAAGTTTTAATAATTGAATCAGATTATTGTTTTCGTCATAATGTCCTCTAAGAGCAAGACCTTGTCGAAGTTGATATATGATGCACGAAATTTGAATTGAAAGACTCTGTCGATGTTATCCTTGTTGTTTTTTAGTTGCTGATGTTAATTGAATTGCTATATTAGGTTTCGTTTGCTGATTGATGACATAAATTGAGTCCAGGTGAAGTTTAATTTTTTCATGAAGCTTAAATCTTGATATGACATTTTTCTAATCACAATAACCATTAACTATAAAAATAACATGATGAGAACATAGTTTTGTTTTAGTACGATGAATTGAAAGTTCAAATGCTTCGCGACATAGACGACAAAAAACTCTCCTTTTCGTCTGCAAGAAAAAAAAATTATTTCTTTTAGATTTAAGTTTTAATTCAGATTATGCATATTATGAACAAGACTCACTTTACAAAATGTTAACCATGGATAATCTGTAAAGCATTTTTTCTGACAGGATCGTTTATTAATTGTTGTTGAAACTAATTCATCCTCTTTAAGTGGATGAGATGCTTTAGAAGAACTACAATAATTTAAATCACATTTAGATATATCTAAGTTATTATTGTTTGACCTAAGGAAGTTGTTAATGATGATACAGATACTGAATTTTTTTAGCTGATGTTGTTGACAATGATAATAAATTTTTTTTTCTTGTTGTTGGTGATAATAATACGGAGCTATTAGTTGTAGATACTAATAGTAGTACTGAATTGTCTGTGGTTGATGGTTTCTCAGACTTATCAAGTCTAAATTGATTTGAAGATTGATCATAGTTTTCTTGAAAATTATTAATATTAGACAAACTTGATGGGTCAATATGAAATGAAAACGGAGTTAGAGCAAACATTTTTCTCTTTTTATTTCGAAAAATTGTTGAAAAATTATTCAAAGCAATTACAGTCATTTGTTTTATAGAATCTTCTGCCAAAGGAGATAATTCCTGTTCTTTTACTTTTTTTTGTAAAATATTCGAGGATTGATGGAGATCTTTTTGATGATATATTTTTCTAATCTAAAATTTCAACACTATCAGAATATCAAAAACATTTTCGATCCTATTAATATATATAAACACAAAATATAATATCGAGTTTTTATCAGTAAAAATGGAATACTGAATTCATTTTCATACGATATTGATAAGCTTATGAAACGAACTTGATAAAGAAAATCCAGTAAGTTGATATTTAGATAAGATAAACAATAAAATTGTTCAGACTTTGTTGTTCAAATTTCAGAAAAATTTTAAGGCTATATTTCACAACACAAGACGAATGATACGATTATATTTTTAAAAATGGAGATGATCTCTAAGATTTCTCTTGGTTTTGTGTGTATGATATCGCGTAATTCTACGATTCGTTTATTTCACACACCATTACATCAAACTAAAGGTGACACTGTGAATAGTCACAATGCAATGGAATCACAAAGTCTAAGTTTATTATATTGCTCAAGTTATTTTCTATTCTTTTTCATCGCAATAAAGATATAAACCGTAAGAAATATCAATTTTCAAAGTAATATAAGGTTTTATTTATAGAAAAATTTTAAATAATATAGAAACGAATAAACTTCAAATTAAAAATTTCGGTAACACTTAGCCTATACAATTTAAAATCAGGTGAGGCTTAAGCCTCACGGGCCTAGAGTCTCTGCCGGCACTGATTTAAACTCTGAGGAATTCTTCCTAAAGCTAGCCCAAAAAACCAAAAGCGCAAATTTCACCCCAATTATCCATCATAATTGAAATTTTTGCGAATTTTACATGAAATTAGCCCAAAAGCCGAAGGCAAAATTTCATCCCAATTACGTACTAATATAATTCAAACATCAACTAATTTAATACAAAAGTAGCCTAAAAGGCTAAAACAAAATTTGACGCTAATTATAAATTATAATTCAACCTTTCGAGAATTCCAAATGAAACTAACCCAAAAATCCAAAGAGAAACTTTTATCCCAATTATAAATTGTAATTTCAATTTTGGCTAATGTTATCTATAAGTAGCCGAAAAACTGAAAGCCAAAATTTGATCTCAGTTATAAATTATAAACCAAATTTTGGCTGTTTTTACACCAAACTAGTTCAAAAAGTGTAAGCGACAATTCTAGCCTATATATAAATCTTAATTCAAGTTTTGCAGAAGTTTCATAAAACTAGCCCAAAAAACCAAAGGAAAAATTTTATCCCATTTAAAAATTATATTTCAAACTTGGCTAATGTTATATAAAACTACATTGTAAACTAGAAAATAAGTTATAGAGTTTGCTCAAGGATATTCTAAGAATGCCCAGATGAAATCACCGAGGAATTTTCAATTTTTCGAAAATAAGATATTTCAAACATCAAGACTAAGAAATTTGATTTTGCTAATTAGAAAATCGCAAATGAACTCATATGGGCATTCCTGGAATTTCGGATTCTATTTATCAATTTGAATATTTTTTAAAAACTCGAAAATCGAATTTTTATTTTTACATATGATGTAAAATTCGTATAATAATATAAAAAATAATTTTAATTCAAATTAAAATAAAACTATAAATAACTGACTTATATAAATGCACCAAGAAACATGAATAATAAATTTGAATTTAAATCTTAATATAACCTTGTGATTCATAAAAATGCATCGATTAAAATGGATCATCAATTTAAATTTAAATAATATTTCCTAGACTGAAAGGCTAGGGTCTAGAAACCTAAATTCACCTGTGTCTGTCTGTCTGTCGGTAACGCGGTACAAGTGACCATTTTTTTGGCACATGTGACCATTTTTTGACACAAGTGACCATCTTTTTGGCTTAAACGACTGTTTTTTTGCACAAACAACCATTTTTATGGCACAAACGACCACTTTTTTTGGCAGAAACGGTCATTTTTTTACTAAAATTAACTAGGTAACTTCAGCATGTAACTATGGCACAAACGGTCATTTTTTGGTAGAAACG